GCCACGTCTCTATTTTTGAATGCCACAGTTTAAGATTGTGTGGCTTTTCTAGATGCAAGAAACAGCGGATAATTTGAGTTCAATAAAAGCTTGATTGATTCCATTTTCATTGAAAAGTAAATTTATAACAAACAATAAAAACAATACAGAGTTATGCTTCCACACTTTAGTCACTTTTGGTCTCATTTCAATAGATTGACAACATACTCAAGGCTATTTCAGTCAACACTTACATGCCCTTTGTAGCAGCTGCTGTTGTTGTTTCACATTCGCTTGCCTGTCAATCGGTCAACAGATGAAGAGGGAGGCGGGAAAGTTAGTTATTTTAGTAGCAGTGAGTATAGTATATATCATAGTAGAATATGAAGGAAACGTGTCAATATAAGTACTTTCACTTCAAATAGTATATAGTTATAAGAAGGGACAGGGATTATTTCTAATCGCGAAAGTAAGCTTCAGCCCATGTTTCATAACCAATTACAAAGGAAAGTCAGAGAGTTTAGAGAGTTTGTTCATTAAAATCAAGAAGTTCAAAAGTTCCTTCTTTTTTGTCTTTCGAGATCTTTTATTATTTGTTGAAGAGCGCATTTTACATATTTGTCCAGTTAAATGATGGTGTTAAAAAGTAGTTAGGTAATTTGTCATATTATTACGTTGAAGATATCAGAAGTCATTTAGTTGAATATTTAAAAATCAGCTCAGGATATTTGAATTGGTGTATGTTCTAATTTTACTCATGCAACTATGCAGATAATGGATACACTTGTTCCTATATTTTTTATACGATAAGCGAGAGCATTTATCTCATTGAGTGAGGGAGGATTTTCTGAGGTCTAATGAAGTCCTTGTTAATTGAAAAACGTTGTTAACAGAAAATTTTAAGTTGCAGACGTTATTTCGTGTATATTGCTGCAAAGTTCCTTAGCGGTTATTTGAGTGAAGTCATAGTTTAATATGTTTATGATATTCAATGTACAATTTTTTTATTACTTAAAATAGCATACAAGTTAAAACAGTTGCTGAATTACATATATAATTACAAACGTTAAAACAGCTGCTACTACGTAATACTCATGATAGGCAGCTGAAATAAAAAACAGCTTTAAACCGTTTAGTGTGGTGTTTTTTTGCAATTTTTTGAGAAAATTTATCATCGGAAAGTAAAGATTTAAATAAACATATATAAGGGTTACAAGATTAAATAAAACAAGTAAGGAAGAGCTAAGTTCGGATGTAACCGAACATTTTATACTCTCGCAAAGTCCAATGGTATACTCGTTTGAGATTTTTTTGTGGATTGACTGATATTTTCGGTAGAAAGTCAACTATAGGCACTGGAGTCCACATATGTAGTACTTAGGGGCTTGAACAGTCTTGGTTCGATTTAGACAATTTTTGGTCACAAGGTGGTATACTTTAAACGTATTATTCACGAAAAGTTTTACCCCGATATACTCATTATTGCTTGATATGCATAGTGGAAAGTAAAAGAATCAGACGGAATTGAAAATTTGTTATATGAGAAATAGACGTGGTTGTAGTCTGATTTCGCCCATTTTCGCACTATAATATAGAAATATGAAAAGAACGGTACCAAATAACAGTCTTGTATCTTATTGCGGAGCTTAGTTATTAATTTATATATTTTTGATTAATGGCGTTTTGTGGGCGTGGCAGTGGTCCGATTACGCCCATCGGCAATACCAAGAAACATGTGTACCAAGTTTTATGAAGATATCTCAATTTTTACTCAAGTTACAGCTGGCACGGACGGACGGACAGACGGACAGACAGTCACCCGGATTTCAACTCGTCTCTTCATCCTGATCATTTATATATACATAACCCTCTATCTAACTCGATTAGTTTTAGGTGATACAAACAACCGTTAGGTGAACAAAACTATTATACTCTGTAGCAACAGGTTGCGAGAGTATAAAAACAAACAAAAATTTGAGTAAATACAAAAGATATAGATTTGACATTTAACTTTCGATAAGAAGCATAGTTTTACCGGAAATCGAGTTAACCCGTCATTAACCGTTAGAAATTCAACCACGCCCTTCCCGTCCTCTTCCCGACCTCAGATCTTCAAAAAAATTTTTTCCTCTCATTTTTGTTATTTTTCTTTAGTTTCCAACGGGTTTCAACATGCTATGATTTTCTTTCACTTTTTAACATTTCAAAGGTTTTTGCACTGCTCTAACACGTTTATCTCTGCATGCAAATTCGTATGCATTATCGATGTGCTACTTTCCCGACTCCAACTTACCACACAACATGCAAACCCTCGAGAGTTGATTGGTAAACTCCAGAAAAGTTGGTGTAAGTAAATATCGGACGTTTTGTCCGCTTCTATCCTGCCCGGCAAATATTGCAGTTCTTCACAGTCGTACTGCAGCGGTACTGATAGCAGTGTAAGATGTTCGCACGAATTAGACGTAGACAAAAAGTCAAAGCAAAAGCAGCCAATATGTGTGGCAAAGTTTGTGGTAACACAAGGAAAAAACATGGATAAAAATTATCTTCGTTGTGGTAGTTAATATACGATTGGATGGTGGCAAACCCAATTTGCTTGATCATGCTATGCTTGGTGGTTGAATTTAGTGATCTAAAGCTGTAGAAGACCAGTTTTGAACGTTAAGTGGGCATGAATTTTTGAAAATATTTAAAAGTCACACATCTTCAAAAAAGCTCCAATGAAAGTAGAATAATTAAGAATAATAATTAATTTCGGAGATAGTCCCGGCAAAAGTAAATAAAACCTAAGGTAATGAAGTTGCTTATTGGCAACATTATTAATAACACTGGTGTCGTACGAACTTTTCGATGGTTTTTGTTTATATGGGTATATTCTCATTAACCGTTTATAGCAATTTTGTTTCAAGCATGTTCGGTTATTTCGTGTCTTTTTATACCCTGAACAGCAGAAAAACCCATTAAACATACAAATGATCAACATGATGAGCTGAGTCGATCAAAAATTTTGCACATACCTTTTTCTTCCTAAGAAGCTGTTCATTTGTGACACTAAAGCATACAGCTTCCATAGAAGCTTAACGACCGGACTCAAGTTCTTGTAAGGAATCGTTTGTATTGTATTTGTGAAGAGTAATATAGCTTCGATGAAACCGAAGTTAACGTTTTTTTATTTTTGTATTGGAAAAAGCATTCGCGGAGAAAAATTTGTTAAAACGCACATATTTATGTATCCAAAAGCGAAAAATGTATGTAAAAGTGAATCCGAATTTTAATCGAGTAAACGCGATTTAGCTTTGAAAATAGTTTTCTGGGCTAAAATTCCGCTTTTCGTGGTTTGTCGCGAGGGAGCTAACAGCAAAATCTTGGATCAGGAGTAACTTGTTTGACACTTTCCGGTATTGCAAGTAAATAAGGTAAGTTATCTTCACCTCCGCAACGTCAGAAAGACTGCACTTACAAAGTTTGATTAGTAGTGGCGGACGCGATATGGTTTGCTAGCCATATATGCCGTTCCACGAAATAAATTTGTATTCACTTTTCGATTCACTATTATTTCGGCTAGATACAAATCACTATTATTTCGGCTATATATAAAACCCATGTCTCCACGACAATAGATATGAAAGGCATAGCACCCTCCTTATTTTAGTCATAAACTTCTAAGTATGTAAGTTTTCAACAGAAGTAAGCTTAATGAACCAATGTCTACTTTGGCCAAATGCGAAGCGTGCAAAATATCAAAGCGGCGATACACTGCGTTTTTGTCGCGGAAGGTTCTTTTTTGCAGAGCGCCAGATAGTGCAAGATATGCACCAATGCGATTTGTTTATGAACATTTTGTTCGGATTTGCACTCTATTATTTGAGCTCACGCGTGACTTAAATACTATTATTATTGTTATAGTGAAAAAAACAGAAGAATGCAGTTCGTTACGTATACGTCATTGTGTACGTGCGGTTACTAATGGCTAATGTGCCGCAGAAAAAAACTGTGCTAATAAACAAACTTTGCTTAAACAATATTTGCCAATGAACTAACTATTGTTGTTGGTAACTTTTAATACGCCTTTACTTTGGTTATGGGCTTTATTATTGCTTCCTGCTTGCTATTGCGACTTCCATATGTTCTCTAATTGTGGAGAAAAATTTGCCAACAATCCTGAAATTATTTAGATATTATCAGAACGAAATAACGGAACACTCAGTATGTGCAGCTCTATTATATTCAAGTTCACAACATAAGTTTCTTTAACGTTGGTTCATTAAATGTAAATAATATACTACAGATTAGTTGAGGGGACAAAATAAATAATATCTACACGAAACTTTTGTTAAATTAATAGATCATTTAGCTCGAAAAATTTTAACGCCTGTTATGACATTACTTTTCAACTATTCGCTTTGTGTTAACACTTATAAATAAAATTTTATATTGGCAATTCAAATATTTATTTCATAGTTATAAAGTCACACTATGCTAAGACATTGTGCTTCGTTGCAGTGGTACTATTGCATTTAAATATGTTAAACTTTTTATTTGAAACTCTAAATTAAATTTCTTTTTTTTTTAATTTGTTAAAGAAGTCTTGAAATACCATGCATTTTCTTGAGCCCAGTAAATTATCACTTTGGCCGTGCTTCGCTTCCATGCATAGGCAGCAGAATGCGGGCTTGTTTAACTCTGTGTGTTTGTACATATTCTTTGCCCTCTTCTATGTAGTCTGTTTGATTTCTAACAGTCCCAGGCTAAATGCCCTGGTCCGCAGCAGCGTAAGCATCTCTTGAGTCTCCTTTAATCGTAGCCTGCAACTGATCCATCCGATTTTAACGTCGATAGGGAATCCAGTTAAGGTGCACCTGCTTTAGTTTTCCGTATTCCTCTTATTTTGACTTTTTTTTGTCGAGTTTTAGGCTTTTTTTATTTGATTTTTTTTATTCTTTTATTTTTTTTTATTATTTATTTTTTACCTTATTTCATTTTATGGTTTTTCAATATATTAATTTATTAACGTTTCTTACCTTTCGAAATGCTTAGATTCCTTTGCGGATTATAATTTTATTTTGTAACATTTTACATTTTATACAAAAATAATACCACGAGTATTTATATTACTTTCTTCCGTTACATAAGTTAACACGATTGCAATACAGCTGCTCAAGCATATTCTTGCAGTAATGTCGCGTTCAACTTTATAATACACTACAAAGATATTTCCTCCCTCAACTTTGAACAAGAAATTTTTATCCGTTTTGTGCTTATATTCTCAAGAATAGCCATATATACGTATATGTGCACTAACACCAAGTTAAGCGCGCGTTCATAACCACTATTCAACCATTAATGATGAAGTCCAAAGTAAAACTAAACTAAATTGTAAATGGCAGACACTGATAATACGACCAAATTTCACTGGCGAAGTCGTCCTATCGGCCAAACAACGAAGTGCGTTAGCCTCTAGTGACAGCGCTGCTGAACGAAACTTGGAAAGTTATAAAGAATCGCTTTCAGCGCACGAAGTGCCGAATAGCGAAGTCTGCGCTTTGTCGACGCGTTCTCACTTTCTCGTCGAATTTGTTTACTAGTTAGTCGGGTTATTAATAGCAGAAACAGTGAATGTTATTATATTGGTTTTGTGTTCGAAGCATGCAGAGCTTTATAACATAAGTGAGTATAAACTTAAGCCGACTTTGTACTCATATTGGTAAGACTTAAGGTTAAGAGCGATAAATAAATATTTAAAGAGTAATACCGAAATATCCTTAAATATTGAAGATTAGAAGCGTGCAAAGAGTTTGAGAGGTAATTTTGTATCAGAGTAAAGGTTACTAGCAAGAACTAAATATATGAAGAGTATAATATAATATAAGTGAGTTACAATGAAACCGATTTTGAATAAGAGTGAAGATTACTTACAATATATAAATGTATGGAGAGTAATTTCGAAAAGCACTAAAATTCTGATGGTTAACAGCATGTGCGTGGAGAGAGGTTTTATATTTTTTATAGAAATGAGTTAAACTTAAACCGGTTTTATATAGGAGTACAGAGTTCCAGCAATATATTAATGTATGGAAAGGCATTTCAAAAGCTGCTTAAGTATTGAATTTTAAGAGCATGATTTTGCAGAGCATTTGTTGAGATTTCTAACATAAGTGAGCTAAACTTAAACTGGATTTGTATAAGAGTAAAGTTTACTAGCAATATATGGAGAGTAATTTTGAAAGATACTAAAGTTATGAATTTTCACAGTATGAGTGTGCAGAAAGTTTGTAGGGATTTTTTACAGCAATGAGTTAAACTTAAACCGATTTTGTAAAAGAGTAAGGGTTTCTAGCAATATATAATATATCTATATGAAAAATAATTTTGAAACTTGATAAATGTTTTAAGGTAAACATCATAAGCGAACATATAGAATTAAAGTTGCGCCGATATTATATAAGAGTAAAGGTTACTTGCAATATATAAATGCAAGAAAAGTAATTTCAAAACGTGCTAAAATTTTAAATTTTAAACAGCATGAGCGTGCAGAGAGTTTCTACAGATTTTTTTTAACATGAGCGAGTCAAACTCTTTATCGGTTCAAGTTTCAAGTAATTTCGAAAAATGCTAAAATTTTGAATTTTAACAGAATGAACATAGAGAGAGTTTGTATAGGAGTAAAGGTTGCAGGCAATTGAGATATATATGAAGAGCAGTTTCGGGTAAGAAATATACATATACATATACATTAGGTTGGAGCGAATTTTTTTTTGCTTAGCCTGAGGGTTAAATTTGTAGATAAAAAAAAAATTTGGAAAAATAAATATTTTTTTCGCTCCACCCTAATATGCATCGCTAAACTTCTCTTCCTTGCTCTATATTAATACTGTATAACAGATGGAAAGTTCTACCACTTTAAGTAAATAAATCATTCCGTGCTTTGGAGACCGAATCTTACGGCATACCGTATTTACAAGCAAGCGGTTTTACTTGACTTAACTTTTGAATATTTCAGCATAAAATATTTATACTTTTTAAGAAAATTCGAATTGAATAATTCACACTTATCAGCTACGTAAAGCGACCTGAGTATCATTTAAAATTCCAGTACCTTCGATATCTATGAAGGACATAAAATTTTAGCCTGTAAAAATTTTCCTGTAATTGAGTTACTCTTACCAGTTCTATTGGATAACGAAAAGTTTTCACTGCTGATGGATAGCTTGATATAGTAGATGAAACTAACATCTAGTTATTGTAATACCTCAATTAACACTGATACAAGTATTTCTGTTCTAACTGAACTTTTGAATTCGGCACTCTACTGTTAAGTTTGTGGACCTCATATTCTCCACTAAAGAAGTTTCTAAAAATATATATGAAGCAAGACAACTTTTATACACATACCGGTATGCCGGTTATACATATACAAAGGCTCTGCTCAATTTATTTATAAACTACTCATAAAAGTACTTATGTAAAAGTGAATTAGCTTAATATTGTTTTGTTTACCGTTGTGAGTGAACTACACTCAATGAGAGTGTGATTGCAAAAAATCGCCGCAAATAAAATGAGCTGTGTATTTCGTAACTTGAACTAACCACAAAGCAGGTATTTTTCTTAGAGTGCTAAGTTGGGGAGAGCTCTAGTGAGTCACATGTTGTCTTCAACTCAATACTTTCATGAGTGGAAATGAGTTACTGAGTAAAAAATCGAGATTTCACTAAAAATAATATATTAACAAGAAATATTTGAGTATTATTGTAAATTCGAGAAACAGATAGTCTCAACTAACCCACGCATAGGCATAGAGTATATATAATATGTACATGAGAACGAAATTTTAAAAGGCGTTTAGAGTTTCGACTTACTGCTTTCGTCACTCAGTATCAATGTCTGTATATATGAATATATCGACTGCGGTATTTTAATTTACGACGTCGTTATTTTCTGCATTTAGAAAGAAGCACACTCTTATGCGCTGACACGTAAATTCCCTCAAGCATTGACCGTTGCTAATAAAGCATTTTCAATGCAGCACAGTTGAATATTTATATGTTTTGAAATTGGACTTCAGACAAAAATAAACAAAAAAACGTGGACCCTTGTTACGTATTATGTATAAGGTACCTCTACGAATAGGCTATAAACAGCTTTAGTCGTCATCTCTTTTGATATCTTAAACCACTTACACTGGTGATAGTGAACTTTGAAAAAGTTACATTTTGGTAGGTTTTCGTCCTATGCATGATTAGTTTGGATATTGCGTTCAACAGTTATAGACGCTTAATTCTACCATCTACTGCGAACAACTGGACCGCTTGAAGCAGGCGATCGACCAGAAGCGTCCAGAATTGGCCAACAGGAAGGGTGTAGTGTTCCACCAGGACAACGCCAGACCACACACTTCGTTGATGATTCGTCAGAAGCTACGGGAGCTCGGATGGGAGGTTTTATCGCATCCACCATATAGCCCGGACCTGACACCAAGTGATTACCATCTTTTCCTGTCCAACGCGCTTAATGGTGAGAAGTTGGCCTCAAGAGAGGCCTGTAAAAATTGGCTCTCCGAGTTTTTTGCCAATAGGGACGCAGCCTTCTACGAGAGGGGTATAATGAAGTTGGCATCTCGTTGGCAAAAAGTTTACGAACAAAACGGCGCATATTTTAACTAAATCCGATCACTGTAACACTTTTTATAAAGCATTGAATGAAAAGCAAAAAAGCCGAAGGGAAATAACGGCCAACCTTTATTTCGATGAAATTAGCTCTAACAAACGGAAAAAAATTCATAAAATGTATAAAGTAAATAATGTACAATTTATAGTTCCCATTTTTAAATCCTTATTAATTTGTCTCTTTTCGACAGTTTTTTTTAAAGAACAATACACAAAATGATCACAGCAATAAATAGAATTGTGCGGGTGTCGTCCGGTTTGCGGTGGCTCAATGAAAACTAATGGGATAATTGTCATTCACTCACTCCTCGCTGAAATTGGCTCGAATTCAATAGTTCAGTAAAAATAAAGTTCTGAGTTCCAGTATTTTTTCTCATTCTGAGAAATATGTTGTAACATGTTGCAAGAGTATAATAGTTTTGTTCATCTAACGGTTGTTTGTATCACCTAAAACTAATCGAGTTAGATATAGAGTTATGTACATACATATAAAAGATCAGGATGAAGAGAAGAGTTGAAATCCGGGTGACTGTCCGTCCGTTCGTCGGTTCGTCCGTGTGTGCAAGTTATAACTTAAATAAAAATTGAGATATCCTGATGAAACTTGATACACATCTTTCTGGGCCCGAAGACGGTTGATATTGCAAATTGGCGTAACCGGAGCAATGCCAATCCACAGTAGAATACAAGATTTTTATTTAGTTCAACGATCACAATAGGGGGGGAACACTTCTAGTTTAAAATTCTTTCAAAAAGTGGGCGTGGTCCCGCCCTCTAATAGGTTTAATGTGCATATTTTCTAAACCGCTCTACCGATTTCAACCAGATTAGGTATGTAACGTTCTTCTAATATACCTATTTTACAGTGCGAAATCGGACTAAAACCATGCCTGCTTTCCATGTAACACAATTATAATTGTATCAGGACAAAACCTTGCATTAATAATGCCTTTAAAGTATAATATAACACCTTATGACCAAAAATTCTTTAAATCGAACCAAAACTGTTTAAGCTCCTAGGTACCGAATATGTGGTCCTCAGTACATTTATTTTTCTTTTTTCCGAAAATATTGGTCAATGTGTGGGATATGTAATTGAAATTCAGAGAAGATCCTTTTCTGATAATAGTATGTCTGTATGTCAAACCCGATTCAGGTCAAAACTTCCCTTAGACAATTAGGACAAAAATTTCCTTCAAAATTATATGGTTAAGCGCTTTAACCGCTCCTCTGGTTGACGTTTTCAACATCAACACAATATATTAAATGTAGCCTCTTTGGTCAAATTAGTATCACATACACATATTATATCTTATTTTAAGGTGTGTTTAATATAATTTTAGCTGGCACGAAGTAAAATATAGCAATTAAACTAAGTTTATGGCCTTTAATATAAGTCAAGAAAATACCAAATTTGATTGTAATTACGATTTTTTCGAATAATGTTTAAAAAATGTTTAATATAAAAATGTAAATAAAAGTTTTGCCAGCACCTAAAGGAATTGATTTTTATTGAGTTATTATTCATTTTGTTATTACTAAATATACGAGTATATACATTCACATATATATTTATATATGGTAGATACATATGTATGTGTATATATATTTGTCTTCTTAAACATAAATAATTTTGGAAACAAAAAATATGTAACAAATTAAAAATTTTGTTCATTTTTGTGACTCTAGGAATACATTTTAAACACAAGTTTCGCCACTGTAATTGTACAATTCCAATAAAAGCTGCAGTTTCTCCTGTTTTCCCTTTTAATCACCCAAGGTTATTGTAATGGCTGTAGGTGATATTGGTTTATACTTTTATGAATATCAAAAAATACTGTTAACTGAATACAGAACTGGATGTTGTCGTGCTGCACAACTTTTTTCAGCGTACATACCGTATTAGG